ATTAATTTATGTATTTTTTATTAATTATTAAGATAAACACATATGCATGTTAATAATTTATATTTATTTTAAGTCTCTTCTAGATATATTCTGTACAAGTTGTTTTATTTTTACTTTTGCCAAATATCCACAATTTTTTTTTTAATCTTTTGCTTGCGTGATGATTAGTGATATGTATATATATACAAACAATTTTTATATTCGCATTATATGTAAATATAGTAAAAAATAATAATTATTTATTTCGTTGGAATCTTTTTTTTTTTCGATTCGACTAAAAACACGAAAAATAGCATGAATGGTCCGAATTTTTTAATCAAAGGCAAAAAATTATTGAGGGGAGAAAATTTTAGTCTTAAATAAACAAAAAGCTTGATTAACCGGCGATTGAAATATACAGTTCGTGAAAAAATATTGCAACTTGAGATTGTAAAATGTAAAATGCATGGGAATGTAAAATTAGTCAGATATAAAATATATGCAAAAAAAAAAAAAAAAAAGTAATTCAAACTTTTATTTATTATGAAGAGAAAAAAATAAAATGGTAAATTGGACGTACGGTTAATAACTTCATTGTTATATGGAAACAATTAGATGTGAGCGCGAAAACGTTGGTTATGAAATATTTGGTAAAAAATATTTAAAAAAATAATGTTTATTTTTTTTTTCTGAATATTTTTTCCTGGATTTCAACCGGCCAAATGCTTTCGTCTAACTACCATTTTATTTTTTTATTTTTTTTTTACTTTTTTTACTATATTCTCTTTCATAATAAACGAAAGGTTAATTGTATTCACTTCGTATCAAATCGATTTTAACATTTCCATATATTTTATATTTATATATACCATTTTACATTTCGCAAAAATTAATAAGAATTTAATTAAAATTAGAAGAATTTTTAATGACTCTCGTCATTGAAACGTACGTTTGATTAAAATTCTTTTGAAATGATTATAATATTACAATGATGAAAGAAATTCGAAAACAAATTATTATTTCTAGAAAATAAAAAAAAAGTCCTACTTATAACAAAACTCAAAAAAAAAAATCTATATTTAGCGTACGTTATCATAATTGATATCAAGAAAAAGCTTCAAGCTTCAAGTTTCAAGCTTTGTCTCACAAGATGGCAAAGTCATTGAGAATGTTTCGAAGGCAATTAACACGCGGGCAGAATGGAAAATAAACCATTGGTGTATATCGAAAACCGATTACATAAATGTAGCATTAAAATATAAGCTAGTTTATCTACTTAAATGACCAACATTGGTTCCAATTAATCAACGAACTCGTTTAAAATATCTGCATACGTATCTAGAGTGTACTTATGATTATATGACGTAGGTATATTGGTCGTAAGCAAAGAGAATAATTCTTCATGCGAAAACAAATCAAAAAATTTAACGAAATTTTTTTTTTAATATCCAGTTGTATTTTTTAAAAAATCAAACTTTGTGAAATTTCAAGTGCGCGTGTACACGAAAACTAACGAGAGAGCCAATTAAATATGTTTCTTTCCCCTTAGCTTGTTCGAAATATTATAAATATCGCGATCCAAATGACACGAATAACATATATTCGTTCAATTGAAATATAAATCATTGGAAACGTTCTTTTGATCATTTTTACTTTTTAAAACATTTCAAAATAAAAATTCCATTTAAAAATAATTGAGAATTATATCCATTAATTTTTTTTACATCCTAAAATATTAACCCCTTAAACATGTTCCAAATTTCAAATTTGATATCTATAACAATTTCAATCTATAAAATTTCGTAATTCAATTTTCAAGTAAAAAAAAAAAATTATATAAAAATTTCTCTCTCTTAACTTACTTACTATCACTCAAAATCATCCCTTTTTCACCTTACATCACATTTTTCCACACAAAGCCTCCTTCATGCCTTTTCAAACACGAATAAAAGTCCGCGTTTCAAATTCATGCAAATCGGACACGTTACAGACACCTTTTTGACAAATTTTCGCGACTTAAAGGTGGAGTAACGTGATGATGGATTTCGCATTCGATGCAGCCAAGACCAAGAATTTACCGTTCACTGGACATTATTCGTAAATTCGACATGGCGGAGAGGAAAGGAGGGGTGAGTGGTTACTTCAAAAGTAGCTAACGAACCGACTTCCGACTTACGGACACTGTGGCTAGCTTCATCTAATTGTATTAACTTGCTTAATTAGGATCCTGCTCGCTAATCAACTCGAAATCTCTTTCGAAAGGTTGTCCCCTGCACTCTCTTTCTCTCTCCTCTCCCCTCCCCTCCCCTAAGCGTTACACCTTTATTTCGGTGAACCTTTGAAAGGCCAATTTACCGCGGTGTCATTTATCAGCCTCTTGTTCTCCCCTATCCCGTTATTATTAAGCGTGGCCATACCGATACGTTGAAACTTTGTAATTTAAACGAATATCGCCACCCCCTCCCTCCCTATATAACGCCTATTAATTCATTTTATGCGACTCGTGATTCATCGTTATTGTTAGAGTTATAATAGCGTGAATCTGAAATTTTCGGCAGATAGGGGATGAAACTTGAATGATTTCGGGGATGAAATTTGGAAATTTGAAATTTGACTATCTGGAAAGAATTGTATTATCTCTGTGTACGAGAGTATGAGAGAGAATCTTGATTTTGGAAATAGAGAAATATATGTTTGGAGCAATTTTTTTTTTTCAAGTAAAATATCTCAATATACAATTTCACTTGGGAATACTCTTTAAAATAGATGGAATATTAAAATGAATGTGTTTATTTAAAGTTTTAGTTAGAAATGAAAGAAACATTAAGAATTCATTGTTTATTTTAACAGAGTGATACTGATAAGCAAAGATTCTTATATATAATCTTGATATTTGTAATTCATACATTACAGTATTAAAATATATGTGTGTATTTGTAATATATATACTTTTAGTGTTATCAGTTTCATTTATAATTAATGTTTGGACATGTATTTCATGAACCATTGTATTTTAAACAAATTGTATTATCAAAACATAATATATTTATATACTATGTGAAATTGTAATATATGAAAGTATAAATTATATATGGAATTTTTTGATAAAACATTTCTTTGAAATTATGAAAACAAACTTTAAAGTTTTAATATCTTTTCTTTTTTTTTTTTTTTTAATGTCACATTATAACAAAGAAAAGAATTTTAAATTATAAAATTTTCAGCTTTTGCTTTGTAATTCTCATTGTAAAAAATATTCCCAGACGAAATTTTATTCATTAAATTATAACATGAAAATTTTGATGGTTGGTTTCACGCAAAGAGATTTTCTGCCATAAAAGAAATTGCTGCATGTGTAATTACTATTATTCTCTACGTGTACAAACTTCTATTAAAATCAGAATTTTCGAATCAGATGAATTTCCTTGAAATATACAGCGTGTTCCAAAAATATGAGAGTACAGTTTAACTGGAGGTTCGTATTCAAATAAACTTTTTTCTTTGCAAAAATTTTCGTTTCAATTTTATTTTGAATTAATAAATTCGATTTATTCGTACTTATATTAATAACAATTAATTAATTTGTTCGTTATTTATCATGAATAATATAATTTTACTTTATAAATATTCGATATATCAAGTCTGGACTTGTTTGTTCGAGCCAGCGGCACATACCCAACACTATCATCGCGGCTCGACAAATCTACACGCTCCGTGATTGGTCAATCTTTTTTTGTTAATAACTCATTAACAAAACGAAAATTTTTGTAAAGAAAGAAATTAAAATTCTTTCAACAATCTCCTGTTTCCATATATTTCTATAAAAACATTCTGTACAAAGATTTTTATGACTGATCGTATATGAATAGAAAATCATACGTATAAAATTTTCGTTCAATCGATTTCGAAATATATGCTACATAGTGATAAGAGACTGCTTACCAAACAAAATCGAAAACAATTATGATGATATAAAAAAAAAATTCCAACTCTTATAAATGGACAATTATAACTCCATTTTATAACTCATTGTAATAGCAATTCAGGGATAAAAGTCGATCGATTTTTGTACAATCGTCGTACCTCGATTCCTTTCGATCATCTAGTCAACGACATTATAAGCACACTTGTAGACAACCGTTGAAGAGACTCTTTCTATTATTTCAGAAAATATCAACGATTACATTCGATCGTTTTATTTTACAGAAACTCGATGTACCTCGTTCCTATCGAACTCTCGTTGAGTTCAGTTCGACCAATTGCTTACCAATTCCATTCATTTTCCGATCGCAGTTTCATCCCTTCCAATACGTCTACATATAACCTATACATGTGTTCGATAACGCGAAACTTTTCGAAAATTATCCGGCAAGTGGTTTAATAAAATTATTATTATATTTATTGTAGTTACAAATGAAATTATTTGAGAAATGGTTTACGTTTGAAACGACACAAATATTTCATACGAAAAGTAAATAACCAAATGTTTGCAATTCAATGATTTGTTTAATATTTCGCGAAGCAATATTATTCGATATTCGCTAATGCTATTTATTGTTCGATTTCAAATGAAAATAACAAATTTCTTGATATATAATGTTAAATGATAAATATTATTATCACTTAATACAGTATTACACGCTTATTGTAATACTCAAATAATCAATTAGTTTATTATTCTCCAAAAAGAAGTACCTTTATGTTTGACCAAGGAACGAACATAACCTCAAAATATATTATTTGAATATATTACTATCAAAGATAATACTGAATAACACTAATTCCAATTAATTATATTTTATTATTATCAATTATCATTTCAAATAAATTTCGATAAACCGACAAACTACTTCAGCATCGAAAGCAAAAACCGAAAATCGAGATACGAGAATTTATCTTAATTGCCTCGTTTCGCGATTATTACCGACCGAGTTTTTCGCGTAGGTAACAAGTATCGATCCGAAGGAGAATTCCAACGGGCGAATAATAAGAATTTAAGGAAATAATTTAACGGAACTTACCGTTCGCCTAAGGACAGTTCTAATGGTCTCGACTTCTTGCCTCGTTGGCCAACGGGCGTAGACCACTCCGCTTAGCAGGAGGATAAAAACTGTGATCCAGATCGTCCATGCCAGGACGTTCTTCGTTCTCGCAAGAAGCTTCTGGGCGGTCCGCGTCGAGATCACTTCTTGCGGGGGGATCTCGAGCTTCTGCGCTTTCCTCAGAATATCCTGGAGTCGCCTCTTGGCCTGCTCTACATCCGGCACCCCCATTTCCTTTATTTTTATAGCGCCTCCACCCCGTAAGCCGATCCCTGCCTCGGGTTAACACCTCGCAGGATGGTATCCTCGTCGATGGCACGGGCACAGGATGGAGATGTTAAGAGAAGAAGGCTTGTAAACGCGCCTCGTGCAGGGACATCCTCGCAAACTGTCGATTCCCTGCAAAATTTCCCCTCGTTTTCACTTCCTATCCAATTATCCATTCGTTCTTTAACGTTGACCAGCTTCGAATCGAATTTTCTTAACTCGATCGATTCGAAATTGGCTTTTGGAGATCTGTACGTGTGTTTATCGAAAGTGTGTATCGAAGTGGAAAGAAATGAGGAAAATTTTCTTTTGCGACGATATTCGAGGTTATCCGAATTTTAACATCGCAAGCTACTTAATATTATTTATTGAATTTAAAAAAATTTATTTTTAATTTTTTTTGTTTTGAGAGAATCAAAAGAAATTTTAAGAAAATTGCAAGTTTTCAATTTTGGTAGTATTTTGTATTTTTTTAAATAATAGTTATTCAATTGCTATTGACACGAATTATTTTATACACTGTTTTTAGAATAGAATGATATAAGTCATTATTATAAATATATTTATAAATAAAATAATGATTATTGAATCTCTAATTAATCCTTTAAGAATATTTGATCACGCGAAAAAGTAAAAAATCTTGTACAAAAAAATTAAAATTTTTGTGTAAAAACAAAAAATGTATTTCTTTTATTAAAATATCAAATAAAACCAAAGAGAATAAGAATATTATATTATAATGTATAATCAATGAATTTACATTGCACAAAAATTAAAATCGAGTAAAAATATATCTCAATCAATAATATATATCAACAATTACGTTATACCAATCAATTTTTGAACAATAAAATTATCATTCTTTCAACAACAATATTCATTTACAATTAATTCAAATTCACGTTCGAAGATTAATATTTGACGTCTATTTCAATCGCACAAGCGGACAAGCAAAATAAAATTCCATCCGTATTAGAAACGAATGAAAAATGAAAAAAAAAAAAAAAAAA